AACGTAAATCTAATAATAATAAAAAAAAAATTTAAAAGTCCCCCGCGAGCACGCGCGTCGCCACGTAAACACGCGTCGGGTGCGCCTACGTATGAAAACGTATTTAAAAGCGTCTTCTATGGACTTTTTGGGGTACTGGGGTTTTTCGCCGTTTTACGGATGCACGCAATTTGTAACCTAGGCGTGTTGGGTATTGTTTTACTCGTTGTAACCTCATCTTTTATATTTCATTAAAAAAATTGGTATTTTGTTGTGTTTTGGGGCATTTAATTACATTTTTCACTAAATATTGGGGTTTAATAAGGAGTTGCGCTAATATTGCGCAACATAAAAATTTGCAACTACCACCATTATATTCTATAGGGTCTTGGCATTCAGAAAATATATAATGTTGGGGGGTTTTAAGTAATTTTCAGGCCTAAAATGTGGAATATAACATGGGTACAAAAAATAAAAAAAAGGCCTCAGTCATGAAGGGGTTAAATATAAATGGGGATACCCGCTGAAAACTCTTTTCAGTTACAACAACAGAGCATACTTTTTTTCTTCACCTGAAGAAGCCGGACCTTTATTCGAGCGATTGCAATTAATGGCTCAAACTGGTGAAATAAATTCTGTACCTATACAACCCCCTAGGGGGAAACGATTAGCACCACTATGGGAGAAATACACCAGAAAATGTCAGGAGCAATCTGAAGGTCCTCGTTCCTCTCAGAGAACTCAAGACCTCCATAACGACTAGTACTTAGGAAAGGGGAAAGATGTTATACTATTAAGGAGTTATACTGACATGTTTATAAGCATTTAGAGCGATTGCTCACCATGCCTGGGTGGGTAAAGTGCCCAACCCTCAAAAGGGGAAATAATGATGTATATTTCCTATTCCTGTTTTGCAGGGTTTATGCTATATAGCATAAGTATGTGTAGTGTTATTGGTCATGTTTGGTGTTTGTTTTTTGTTGTACTATGTGTATTCTATTTTTTTTTATGGGTCGGTTGGTTAAAACGCCAAAGACTAGAGAAGATAAGTTGGAGGTATTGTTACATCATTTATCTCAAGAATGTATGATATATAGCTTTAATCCATCTTTGAAATGGTGACCACTGAATTTTGTATAGTATCGCACAATGTACAGGGGTTAAATTCTTCACAGAAGCGAAGAATCGCATTTAATTATTTTTCATCATGTCAGGCAAATGTAATATGTTTACAGGAAACAAGGTTTTCTAGCTCCTTTAACCAAAAATATATGCATAAAAACTACTATCAAGTCTACAGAAAAAAAGAGAGGGGTCTTAATAGCATTTCATAAGAATACACCTTTTTCCTGTTTAAAGGAGATAGTAGACTCAGCAGGGAGATATCTAATGTTAATAGGGATTATATTTGAAACAAAAGTAACACTGGTCATATATTATGCTCCAAACACTAGACAAACACGTTTTTTTTCTCACTTGCTGGGAGTAATTGACAAACATATGCAAGGCACATTATTAATTATGGGGGACTCCAACCTGGCCATAGATGTAAAACTGGACAGATTGGAAACTAGGGCCGCATTATCTTCCTCTCACACTTACTCCACATGATTTCGCACAATGTTGGCTGAACACAATTTGATTGATATTTGGAGGGCAAAAACCCCATAACACGAGAATATACTCACTACTCTTGCCCTCACAAAAGTTCCTCCAGAATAGATCACATTTTTACACACCCAAGCTTCCTTCCCTCAATTAAGAAAGCTAATATTCTTTCAATTTCCTGGTCAGATCACTCTCCGGTACTGATAAAATGTGCATCTTTTTCTCCTATTCCCCCAAACTTTAACTGGAGAATAAACGATTCCCCCCTTACATTCCCTGATCAGCAGAACATATACAAACATCTATCTCTTCATTCTTTAGGGAAAATGAGGGTTCGGTAACATCCCCAATTTCACTGTGGGAAGCTCATAAGACAGTTTTACGGGCCAAACTTATTAGTTTGGCATCTAGACGGAAGAAAGAGAGAAGTAGAAAACTATCAGATCTCACTATCCGCCTGGAAGGATTAGAACTCGAATGGAGAAATAGTCCTAAGGTGGCTACCTGAAGCAAAATTGACTCGATTAAAAGAGAAATTAACCTCCTACTAAATAACTAAGTGGAAAAACAGATTTGTTGGTCCAAACGCATGTTTTAGGCATGTGCCAACAAACCTGGTCTAATGATGGCAAATATGTTAAAAGCAAAACCAAAGATGCCAACCCAAATTGAATTATGATTACCAGGCGGTTCGATCACTGCTAACCCTGCAACAATTGTATCTAGATTTTCTTCCATTCTCTCCCAGATATATGGTAAAACTTCTAGGTTCCAGCCTCAGGTAGCAGACTAGCTAATGCCAAGAATATCTTTACCCCCTCTGACTGGCCATATGACAAATACTATGGATGCAGATGCCTCTATAGCGGAAGTAATACACGCTATTAAATCCTTAAAGATACACAAGACACCAGGTCCAGATGGATATTCAGCATTATATTATAAAAAGTTTTCAGATAGTTTGGCACCTCACTTAGCAGCACTATTTAATCACTTAAAAGGGGGTCACACGGTTCACCCTTCCAATTTGTTAGCACATATAGCGATGATCCCCAAAGCATCAAAAGATAACACGGATCCACACAATTATAAACCAATTTCTTTATTAAATGTGTTGAATGTGTAAATGTGTAAAACTGTTTGCTAAGATCTTAGCTACAAGGCTAAATCAATTCCTGCCAGCTCTTATTCATCGAGATCAGGTGGGATTCGTCCCACATAGACAGGTTTCAGACAATACACGGAAAATGATACATCTTATACACCACATGCACAGTGTGAAAATTCCAGGCATATTGCTATCACTGGACCTCCAGAAAGCATTTGACTTTGTCTCTTGGGATTATTTATTTTATATCTTGGGGAAATGGGGATTCTCTAAAAATTTTTAAGTCTGGTTGCACACATTATATCAAGGTTCTTCAGCTTCAGTAAGATACCTTCAATATAACTCGGCCCCATTTACAATATTAAAGGGTACCCACCAAGGGTGCCCCCTCTCTCCACTCCTATTTGTTCTAGCTATAGAACCACTGGCCTGCCTTATACGAGCAGACACGAGTGTGAGGGGTGTAGAGATGGGACATACAGAGTATAAACTACATATGTTTGTGGATGACTTGAAGCTTACACTGACCAATCCACATATATCCCTCCCTAATTTGCTTAGCAACTTAAATCTTTTCGCAAAAATCTCTAATTTGAAGGTCAACGAGACTAAGTAGTTCGCTCTCAATATCTCGCTGCAAAACTCTGAAGCCGAGATGTTACATCAAAATTTCTCTTTTGATTGGAGGACCTCACATATATTATACCTTGGAATTAACATTCCGAAAAACT